TGTTTTATACTGTATTAAACGTATGGGATTCTTTACCAAATAATTTTATATCAATGAAGAAACTTGCTAATGCTCTTTTAACGATATTTGGGTTCACATATTTGTGTGAAAAATTGTTTTCTTCAATAAATTTTGTAAAATATACCAATAGAAATAAACTTGGAAATGAATTGACTGCGAAATGCGTTAAACTAATAAATATGGAATATAAACGTAATATTAAGAAACTATCTGAAAATAAACAAGAACAGTTTTCTTATTAAATATATTTCAACTTTATTATACATACACATACCTGTAATTTTATCTATTAATAAATAATATTTCATAATATATATGTGATTTTCTTTATTCCTTGTTCATTGAAATACTCAGTGCAGGAGCGACTGCTGACTGGACATGGTGTCATCTGGTGTGGTAATTCATAGTATCACCCCATTGATATCAATTTTTTTACGTCAATCTTTATTTTTTACTCTTTACTTGCAAAAATAAAAGATGTAAAACAAAAAGAAAAGATAAAATTTTTAGAGAATTTTAAAAGTGCAAACCAAAAAAAGTAATTTTTAATCATCCTCCCTCCTTTCCAAATGATGCCACTAACTTAGTGACCCATGAGCTAGTACTAAAAAAAATAATGAACAAAATTTGACACTTCTCAAAAAGGTTCACCATCACTGGTTTAGGGCAATGGCAGCATATTTGGTTCCATTATATAGTGTAGTTCTATTTTGCCTTTTAAAATTTACTTTCTTAATTTTTTATGGTAATTTTTTTAATTAAAGTTTTTACATTACATTATTTTTTATTCCAAGTATCAATCTCAAGCATAACCAATCAACACAATTAGTTTTATATTATTTTTTGTTTTATAAACATGGGAGCTGTTCATAAATTACATAAGGACTGTATTAAATTGTTACCTGGTAGTTGATATCTCAACCTTGTGTAACAGAATGATTCACTTTTGTTTCCGAAGAAAAGCATAGCAAATTGTACTGTTTATGTCACTATTTTGTACATTATACATGTAATTAATAAAGTAGCATAACATTTGGTATCCTGTACTGTGTATTATTTTTTTAGTACAATTAAGAGGTTGATTGAGGATATGCTTTACATAATTTTGGGGTGGATATGAGTGTTATGGAGTGTGATGGTAGTTGAAAAGTATAAAAATAGCATTAATAATATATGGATGATCTCATATACTGTCAATTCTGCTTAATAGCACAGCATTCGGATCAGAGATTTTTGGGGCTACTAGACAAACATCCCAATAAGTTATGCAAGTGAGATACAATATAACGAGTTATGTTAGAGTTATATCAACGCGTGTTCTTACCAATAAATCAAACATCTGAGCACAATAAAACCATTTTAATGACGAGAAATTATTTCTGTACAAAAAAAATCATAGTAGTACAATCTAGAAAATGTGAAGATTCTTTTCCCAGAATGACAGCTAATAAAGGAAAACAGGCAGACATCACATGGAAAAGCCAAAAATATCCAAATTTGTGTCTCTTTGTTTAGTTTTCCATGAAAAATATAGTGCCAGTAGGGCTACTAAGCGGCATTTTGAGTCTTGTAGGTGAAGTAAATTATGCTTGTGTTACAGGATTTGATTATGTTCTTGAATGTTTTGTCCTAATACATGGCATGTCTTACTGACCAGGCTACTAAGTGATTCTTAAAGTTTTATAATTATTTAATTGTAATGAAGATAATTACATTACATATTGAAACACAAAAAGAATTTAATACAGACTATATCATGTAGCCGTTATATATTAATGACATAATTGTGCTAGTATGGAATATAATAAATTTAAAATTGAAAGTATTAATTCCTTCAACTTTGATATATTTTATTTAAATTAACTTTTATAATCTCTATTCAATAATAAGTTATTTATAAAAAAATATTCAATAAATTAGAAGAAACAATAAATGTCTTCACATTGAATGTTTACTTTATAAATTAATATAATTAGTTTTCTTTATTCATATGAGTCAAGTATTTCTTTCCATCTGTTATCCAGATTAGATGAGTTTTGCACATTAATGATCTTCAAATGCCTTATCAAAACAAAAATGAAACATTTATTTCTTTCTTTAAACAATGTTAACAAAAGATTAAAGTTAATTTCTTTTTATTATTATTATTTGAATTCTATTAAATCAAAATTTATTAATATTTACTAGGAATAATAAATTTCTGGTAATAAATATTTATCAGGATGTAAAGATAAAATTTAGATATTTTCATTTTTTTCTAGATACAACTGGAAAAAAATGCTCTAGAACATTTTATGAAATGTTAACAAAATTAAATAAAATATTAAAAATTAAATTAAATTATTTAAAAAATTAAATGCTTATAATAATAAATAAAATTATAAATTGTTTTTGAAATAATTCCAGGACCTTATGAACGTGTCCCACTATATATAGTGTTGTGTGGCAAAGGACTCACTTCTAACATAGGAACAAGAAACCTTCATATGGCTAAACTTTTGATAGATCATGGCGCAGATCCTAATCTTCATGTTCCAGTGGTTAGTTATTTTTACTAATAAATAGTTTTTTAAAAGACTAGAATATTTATCATTTATTAAATACAGTGGATTCTTGATCTATTGTTTTTGGCAGGACTTTGGGGAAAGTGATTGACATAGGAAATTTATGACATTGATGTTTTTATTATTTATTTTGTATGAAATGTGTATTTTCCAGTGATAGGCTTATATGATGGCTTTCTGTAATACTAAACGATATGGAGCATGCGCACAGACATTCATTTATTCTACATTTTAAAAAATTGATTGAACAAAAATCAGTATTCTACTGAAATTTGTTCTATATTCTTTTGGTAAGAATACTATATATGTTGATTCTTTTCTTCACTTGAAGTTTATACTGTGGAAATGTCAAAAATATTAGTGAAATTATAAATTTTTGTCACTTACAGTGTGTTGATTCTCTTATGGAAAAGGGTTCAGACTTTTCTTACTTGTCCAAATGTGATCGTCCCTACCTCAAGACAACCAGGGTTGCCAACATTATGGGAGAAAATTATCATATCTAACCCTTGAAACTATCATATTTCACTTAAAATTATCATATATCCATCTCAATCCTTTTTACTTACATCCTTTATCCATAGAAATATTAACAAGGTTTGCTCTTTGTCAGAATTTCATAAACTTTAATCTCAATCATTTCTTACAACAAAAAAATTTTTAGAAACCAATTTTACAATGAAGTTTTTATGACTCTCCCTTATATGATGTGAAACAAACCTCTGAATGAGCATAAGCTAAAATTTACATTTTTTCATGCAATTTTAACATATCAAACATTAACAAATATGTAACACATTCCTTTATATACCATACTTATTTCATATGCATAAACCTTAGTTTTTCAAAATTTTTGCAATTGTCTAAAATTTTTAGTCCACTCTTTGAGTAGTTGCAACTCCCTATGCCAAAAAAATTTCAGTTCTAGACAGTTCACTAAATGAAAACTATTTATTGATACTACATTAATACATTTTGTACAAGAAGCATAATGGAATTTCAACAGACTATCATTTACACAATTCTCTTTTCACATAAATTTCAGCATTTTATCAGTATATCTAAAAGTATAGCAGTTAGCAGTCTCGAAAAAATTACAAAGTATGCCTTATAATTGACAATAAACAGTAGTAGCCAATCTGAAAATTTAGTTGCTTAGCAGTGAAAAAAGATACAAAATGAAAAGGCAATACATGTAAAAATAGTGATTGCAGATTGGTTTTCTTTTTTTTTTTATTTTCAAAAATTATTAGTTGTTTTTGGAGTAGGGCATATTTATGAAATTACCATACAGACATTATCCTACATTGTACAGCACACTAAATAATCGTATAAATGGCAACACAAAGACAACATGCTAATTTTTACTAGTGTTGCCAGGCTTTAAGAGGAAATGTTGCCAATAAAGTACATTATTTTCAAAAGCAGTAGACAAAAAGTAGTCAAAAATTGCAACAACAAAAAAAAAAAAACTAGTTAGGTATAGTCAAAGGGTTTAAGTGTTAAATTTGACATGCTATTATTTTTAGTAAATGAAAAACTGTTTCAAATTCCCACCTTCTATTGTAAAACAATTGATGCAAGATAACATTTTTTTTTTAGTTAAAATACAGAACAAACAATGCGAGAACCAAGAATACAGGAAAATACATTATTTATAATACAACACATTATATATATGGGTCCTTATTTTACAGTGGTGAAAACAACCAATAGATGCAGGAAAAAGATTGATACAGGAATGATAGATTGAGAATCCACTGTATTATGTAATTCAAATTATAATATGAATTATTTTTTGAAAAGGTTATCTATGATTTGCCAGTTTCTGAAAATTTTGCAATAGAAATTTAGATAGATACAGATATTTTGTTTAATTTAAATATATTGTTATTTTATTTTAACATACCTAAAAATGACAATAATCAACATATTTATGCATCTATTTTAGAAATGGAAAGCTTAAAATACATTTACTGTGTTTTATCATTTCTAATGTACCATTGAATCTAATGTACTACCCTATTTTTGGGACAAAATCTGTAAATATATAAACCAACACCTCCAAACTTGATGTACTGTACTGTACATATGTAATATGTCAGCAACTACTGGAGTATATTACAATTATTTTAAATTAATTACTAAATAATTTGTTATTAGAAGGAGGTGTTATGTATTAGAGTTAATATATAATTACTAAAACTATTGAACAATGTAGTGTTTTCCCATAATGTTGGAAACCCTGTGTTGTCTTGAGGTAGGGAAGATCATGTTTGGACAAGTAAGAAAGGTCTGAACCCTTTTCCATAAGAGAATTAACACACCATAAGTGACAAAAATTTATAATTTCACTAACATTTTCGACACTTCTACAGTATCACCTTCAAGTGAAGAAAAGAGTCAATATATATAGTATTCTTACCAAAGATAACAGAACAAATTTCAGTAGAATACTGATTTTTGTTCTATCGATTTTTTTAAAATGTAGAATAAATGAATGTCTGTGTGCATGCTCCATATCATTTAGTATTACAGAAAGCCATCATATAAGCCAGTTTTTTCAGGTTAATAACTTAAATAGGGGCCAGTTTCACATAAAAAGAACTCACAGGAGGATTCCCTTTGACAGATCATCCATATGTCATGTTTCTGTATATGAATAAAACTAAAGTTCCTTTAATTTCTGAAGGAGATAGTGTGCCAGAATAGGCCTCACCAAAAACTGCAAGATAAAATTGTATCTTTTCTTCTAGTACTCTGTTGGTAACCTGAAGTTTCTACCTTGAGGTTCCATATCTCTGTTCTACTTTTTAGAATTTTCTCTTCAAAAACAGATTTGAGTTGAATGAGTTTTCTATTTTAACAATGTTTCAATTTAATTTCAAACATATCTCTGAAGCAAACACATTTCTCATTCTCCATTTTTCAAATGGAGAGCATTTATTTTAAAAAATTGATAACTTTTTTATATATAGGTAACAGATAACTTTTTTTTTATATATATATTTTACATAACCAATATTTGATCCTGACAATGTGTTTTAACACAACTTTCTCCTGTAACATAGAAGTTGTAACATTGTATCTGAATTGGAGTTGAGTGATATCTGTACTGTAGATCTATTAACTGAGTGGATATACTGCATTGTAAAAACAACCTGAAGAGGGATATGTTGTTCATCTGAAATTAATAGCAGCATTAAAGATTTATAAAGTTGATTTACTGCACTTGGTCTTTTTTAAAAAATGAATGTAGAAGAGTTCATGACAGTAGTACATGTTATTAGTCTCTATGTCATTTTAACTAGAAGATTTAGTTTTGACAAATGTGTTGAAATAAGAATGCAAGAATGATTATTTCATTATTTATGTATGTATATATATATATAATCTGGGAATAACCTTATAAACGGAAAACGTTTCGTACGGTAAACTGTTATAAACGGGTAGCGAATAAAGTATCTAGAACTTTTCTTAAAAACGGCTCTCTTTAAGATGGAAGCGCGTCGTCCGCGTCGCGGCGGGTATTAAAGGGACGACGACGACGAACGTCGGACGCGGCGGAGCGTTTGGTCCGGGGAGCGCGTCGGGGGACGACTCGATCGGGCGACGTACCGGAGCGCGCGCTCTTCAGTCCCGCAACTGCACCAAATATCTCAGGCAGATCCGCGAGGGGTCGAAGGCGACGTACTCGCTGTAGCGCAGGTATCCGCCGGGGCATCGGTCGCGGCCGTCTTCCTCCCAGTCGTCGACCGCCGGACCCACCGGCCACCTACATCCTGAAACGAGAAAAAAAAACACACCTCCAGTTAGAAGAGCGCACTTTGATCACTCGCATTTCCGTTTTCCTTCTACGTCACTTCGAAGTGACTGAGGAGGGAAATCTTTATCTCCGGATTTTACTGACCTTGCCAACAAACGGAATAAGGCGGACTGGGCTGTCTACTTCCGGCCACTTTGACAGAATCGACCTCTTTCGGCACGTCATCTCCCACGTCGATTTTAATCGTATTGCCTAGAGCCACCTGGCGGAGAAAAATTTTCCGTTATTTTCCTGGCAAAAAAAAGAAGTATTTTGCCTGCCAGCCAGAGTACTTACCTCGCACAGNGATTTTCCGAATCAATTGGGGACTGGGGTTGTCCGGATAACTGATATTTCGGATAACTGATTTACGTACGAAAAAATAGTTTAACGTATGTGATGTCAAAATTTTTATTTGTTGCGTGTCGCTTCGCGTTGAATTTTCGTCGATGTTAAGCCTAACAAAGACTATTGTATCGTTAAAAATTATTTTTTTATTTTGTACAAACAAAATAAATATATTGAAAAATATAAAAATAATAAAAAAATTATACTTCAGATGTAAATTTAGTATCAAAAACGTAAAATATTTGAGTAGCCCAAGACATAGCCAAAAATTGAAGCGCCACAGCACTGGCGAAAATTTAAATTTGCCGACTGGAATTCTTTCGGATGATTGACGTTTCGAATGATTGACTTTCGGAAAATCAACGCTCTACTGTACTCAAAAAATAAATCTTTGGATCTTGAATACAGATATTGCAATATGCATTTCTGTAGTTCAACACAATAATCTCATTCAACTTTCTAGCAATATAGATTATTGCTAGAAAGTTAAAAGTTCAATTTATACTAACTGAACATATTTCCATATCATGACTCAATATCTAATAGTTTGTGGTTACAATGCAAATCAGATTTTTCAGTTCATAAGGCATTGCCTCATACCTATGTTATAATCAGAGTAAAAATATAGTTAGTAAGTCATTTAATAGCAAAACTTTTTTCTGATATTTCATTTTCAAAAATCAAGCTTTCTTATAATAATTGTAAAGAATATTTTATTATTGAAATAAGTGACATCTTCAGTTTTACACAATTTATTTTAGAAATGAGATATTCAGCATTTAATTGAACATATCAGCTGCTGTATATTAGAATTATCTTCTATAATTTTTTAGCAAGCATTTTGGTTATTGATTACAATCTGCAACAGTATTTGCTAGATTTATAAAATATAAATTTTTTAAACCTAATATTTAACATTAAATTCCCTTTTCACCTTCTCACATTAATATAAATCTATTGTGTGTTATTACATTATTACTTTTGTTCTTTACATGCATTTAGAAAAAAGAGAAAGAAAATTTAAAAATTACATTTATGCAAGATGTTTAAAAGATTTCTCAAACACTATGGGAATGAAAGAATCGAAATTTTTTCAATACAGATGGATGAAGTATTATGATCTAATTTCAGTCAGAATTACTTATTATTTGTAGTAATTTTTACCTTCTTAATGAAGACAATTTTTTTCTTTTAAAGAATAAAATCTTAAATGAAGTCCTAGAGAAATGAAATTTTATCTCTCTATTCTTGTTAAGATTTCTTAGAATCTAAAATTGTTAGATCTGTTAAACCTAACAATTTCATTGTACAGTAATGAGTGTTTTCATCCTCTAATATTGACTAATCTGTTAAATTAGTCAATATTAGAGGATGAAAACACTCATTACTGTACAATGAAATTTTATTGAGTGTATATAGTGAGTTTATTGTGAATTATGAAATATATGCATAAATAAATATGTAGCTTGATAATTAATTTAATTTAGAAGGAATATAATTTCTCATATAAACTAATTACAGTAAGTAATATAGTTTCCAGTATGTTTAGATATGTTATGGAATAATTTTTGTGTGTGTAATTAATGAAAATATTTTGCTAAAATTCTTCTATTCTTCTTTTTTAAATTATTTATGAAAATAGCTTTGTTTATATATTTGGGTTTTTAGTTTTATTTAAAAAATTACTTTATTTTCTTTTATTATTTGATTACAACTCATCTTTTGTTACAATTAAAGTTAAGAAATGATAGTAAAATAAGATGTTATACAGAATAAATTCATGAAACCAAAAGATTAATTGTAGAAACTTAGTATAGTATGTTATTGTAAACAAACAGACCTCAGGTTATTATTGAAAGTATAAAATTAAATTTTTCAGTATTACAGGATGGTTAAAATTAGTTTCTCATTGCTGTTAATTATTGAAAATATTAGTTTGTTTTCAGTACTTTTTAACTTTAATAGTCTACAATAGCTTGAGTATTGTTCAAAAATTAAGTAAATTTTTAAATATTTGGAAAACATTAGCAAAACAATATATTAGTTTATTATTTTGACAAATATTTTAAAAGATGATTTATTTTTGAATGTCTGTAAAAATTGATTGAGTATATGATAAGTAATATTTTTCTGTATAAAATGAAATTATATTTGAATAATACTATTCGGGCAAATGCTGTTTAGAAATGAGTTTATTAATATTAATAATGAAACGAAACTCATTTCACTATTAATATTTTTTATACAAGATATTTTAGTTAGAATTTTATCATCTGACAAACTTTCAACTTGGAAATATAATAATACATTAAAGCTTTCTGATCTGATGGCACTACTTTTTACGTAATTAATATGTATTTAAAAATTGGTTTTTGTTCTTATTTAATTAATTGTAAGTGATGAATGTATTACATAGCATGATTATTTTTTTTTTTTTATAGTTTAATCCTCGTTGGATGACATTAGCAAGGCAATTTAGTCAAAGTCCAATGGAATTATTGTTAGATTTTTATATACATTCCCTTCATCTTTATGTGAAAGATAGGTAAAGTGAATAAAGATTAATTTTGTGATATTTAAATTTTTTTTAATAAAGTAATAATTTCTTATATATACAGGTAGCCCTTGGTTTACACCAGCTCAATTTACACCAATTCACAATAATGCCGCTGCACAATTCGCCGTTTCATGGTGTAATTCCCCGATTTTTCCTATGCTAGACTGATTTTCATTTCAGTGTTGACATATTTACTGAGCCACGACATTGTACATTCATTAAAACTAAGATTTTTATTGAATATATTTATTTTTTCTGTTTAATATTATTGGGTATGTATACATTTGCATTAAATTAATATTAAAATACTAAACGTTTAGGTTCCCACGAGTCAAGTTATTAAACTTAATAGTTGAATAAATTTAGTCAGAATCCAGAGCGCTAAGGAATGTGAATAATTCGTTTCCCATATCAGTTTGTTCAGGAAAACATGTTACGATGCAGTAGCACTTCCGGCAATCACAAATTGTCATTAGTGAAACAAAATCTACTTCTCGTTGGCCAGATGATATCTACTTCTTGTCAGTCAGACAATATCTGACTTTCTTTAGCGAGACAAAATCAACTTCAATTTTTCCACCCAAACTGATCTTAAATATGCACTACAGCAGCCAGTGGTCAACCAATTCAGCATCTCCATTCATCTGTAGCTCTATTTCGGGTTAGTGTATCCTTTCAACTATGGAAAGTTTGACGGATGAACTTTGTGAGTTAGATAATGATTGGAAGCGAAGTGCAAATGTAAAAAGGAGCATCATTGCATCCAATCGACCATATTCCAAAATTATTAATGAAAGAAAATAAAAATCTAAACAATTACAATTGGATACTTTTTCCAAAAAATGTAAGAGATACGAAACTTTGAAATATAATTTGTTTTTCTTAAGAATTTTTAATAAAAACATTTCATTTTATTTTATCATAAAATACATTTTTAAAAATTAAATTTATAATATATGTATTTTGTATTACATTGTATTAATAAACAAAATTATTTGCTTATTTTTCACTTATGTAGAACCTAACCTTATATCTCACTGTAAATATGGGTTTGTTGTTTTATGCCGATTCAATTTGTGCCAGCTTTTGTAGGAGCAGAACTGCAGCGTAAACCGAGGGCTACCTTTAATATGTTACTCTTTGTATAAATACATTTGTTTTAATATGTTTGTTGCAATTTTCAAATACTTTTTCTTTTGTTATTTTTATTTTTAAGCATAGTAAATTATAAAATAAATTATGTTTGTTATTGATTATTCAGTTTCAGACTTTAAGATATATGTAACAACAGCTTAATTTACAAATTAATTTATTTTTGGTACGTATTTATTTCTTATACAGATTAAATAATTAACTGTAAAGTTTTTAATTTCATTAGCTTTCTTTGAAGTTAAAAGAGTTTATAGTGATCATGGAAAACTTGAAAAGTGTTGAATTTTCACAGATTTGGGAAACAAAGAGAATATCATGGAACTTGCATGGAAATTGCTGTTCTGTATGTTATGCTTTTATCCAAAATAACTAATTGATACAGCAATTGTGCAAAGTTACAATTGTATGTAATGTGTAGTTTACCCAAGGCATCTAACTTCATCAGACCAAAGAGTGCATTCAGAAATAGTTTTATCAGAAACTGAATGCTCACTTTCCAAACAGGTTAGTTGGCTCAGAGTCCAGCGCTTATTGAGCGCTTAGTAAAAACCCATTAAAAAATGATTCCTGGCTTAAGGGAGTTACATACCATATATTGTTGATGTCATCAACTGTTGTAAATGAGCACATGCACATTAATGTGTAAATTTAATGAGATTAAATCAATATGAATGTTATTGACTTCTAATTGTCAGTTTGTATATTTCTAGTTAGGGTCAGGTAGATATACTTTCTGTTGATTGTTCATGAGTTATCTATTGGTGTTCTGTTATCTTTGTGTCTTACTACTGACATTGTCTTTTCATTATCACATAATAATTTATAAGAAATCAGGATTGCTCTGTTTAGAACAAATGCTAAACATATTAGCCTTTGGTTTTTACTTTTTCTGCCCTGTGGTCACTGAGAGAGCCTTTTTATCAAGCTCATCATGAATTCAGCCATTACACAATGGAGCAGCCAGGTGGTGAGGAATGGGGCTGACAAATCTGAGACAGACATCTTCAAAAAGTTTCTTCAGTTTTTTCCTGACTGGATTCAGTCCCAATCCTCAAGTAGTCATAAATCAGGGTTACATTGTAATGATAAAGTATAATATAAAATCTTTAGTGTGTGTGCATGCATGTGCATGAATTTAGTTCTCATACTTAATTTCTATGCTTTGAATTTTAAGATCAGAATTATGCATTTTAATGATTTAATAAATGAATTATATATAGTATCTGTAATTTTTGAAATTGATTTCCAGATGGAATCCAGAAGTAGCACGTGTGATAGGTCTAAATGATTCAGTTATTACAACTTTTCCTGAATTACGAGAACAGTTGTTGGAGTTGATTGATTGTTTCATAGGTAAGCTCTTCATTGCAATAAATTGAACTTTATTTTCTTCATCTGCATCATTATTGTAAGATTGAACTTTTCCATCTCTGTTCTATACTTCAAATTAAATTTAATATTTGTAACTACAACATTTTATAAAATATGAAAGTTTTAATTAACAGAAGAAATATCCTCTTCCAAATTTGACTATTTACTTAATCTGTTTTAATGAATTGCAACTAAGTTTTTATTGGTATGACATTAATGTCATAAAATCTTCTTTAAAACAATATCAATAGTTTACAGATAACCATTTTGAGATATTAAAAAGCATGATAAACTATTAATAACTATTCACAAATGTGTCTGGTTGTCATAAAATATATTTTTAATATTTTAAAAAAATTATAAATTAAAAATGTTAAAAAATTTTAATACATTTTCACTGAATGATTTATTTCAATATTTAAATAAACATTTTTAAACTTTCTACATTCTTAGAAATTTGGATTTATTTGTTCTATGATTTTATTACTTTAACAAATTCGGAATATGTTTGTAGACAGTTATACCCTATGTAAATATTGTATTCAGACAGTTTTTTTGTAATTTTATAGGAAATGTTATGTTAATTTATAATCTTTATTAAATTCTGTAGTGTTGTTGTAAAACTATTCTTTTTGACACATTCTTTACAAGACATCATCTCTGTTCAACCTTAACAAGATGTATATTTTTTAGAAGTAGAACATACAAAGAGATGATTTTTATCCAAAAATTAAAAATTATTATGAATTTTGAAAATAAATTATAAATTATTTTTATAAAATGTTTATTATGAAGATAAAATGTAGATCTATACTATATTTGAAGATAAAATGTAGATCTATACTATATTTTTTAAATTCTAATAATTTCTAATTTTTCTGCACTTTCTAATATACACTATCTTGTATACACTTTTTTCGGTAATGACACATTTTTTACTCTGCAATTTGACACACAAACAGTGATATCATGCAAAATTCAATACTCACATTTTCATAAGAAACCTTAAAATTTGTGAAAAATTTGGTTCAGTGTTGGACAATAAGTAATCATTCACTGATCCTTTAGGCCAATTTTCTCCATTATCTATGTAGGGGCCAAATCTCCATACTTATTCTGTATGGCCTTTTCTATGCTTTCAACCATTTTTACACTAATATTTTATCAGCTTTTGAGGTCTTGCTTTTACCATTTTCTTTTCCTTGGCTTGCTAGTCACTTTCTAGAGTGCATAAAAAAAATAATGAACATAATTAAGAAGCTGAAATTTGATCTTTAAGCATGTAAAAATATAATTGTCCTAAAAATTCATGAACATAAGAGTATTATACCATTGTCAGGCAAAAATTTTTGTGACAAGCTATATGAAAATTGATTTTTTCTGTTCTCCTAAGAAATATTTCTAAATTAGGATGAGCATTATATATATCTTATAAGGTTAATAAGCTCTTATTTTTATTATATTATACAAAAAAAAAAGTTTGTTGTGTTACATACATTTATTATGCAAAGTAATTACTGTTAAAATCTTTGTATTCCCTACTCAAATAATACATTATTTTACTTTCTATCTGATTTAATGCATATGTTATTAGTCTTATCATTTTAAACACATGGTAGTAATTGGCTTTTCAAATTTTTTTCAACTTATATTTAAAAATAATAGTGTAATAAAAACTTTATTTATTAATTTTAAGTGATAAAAATGTGTACAGTTTTTTTATTATTTTTTTTATATTCTACAGTTTATATGAAATTAATGATTCTATTAATTTTTATTAGCACATAGAGCAGAAGTTAATGTTTATCTCGGAGACACACCTGCTCTTATCCGTTTGCTTTTCACATATCCTGATCTTGAACTTACTGAAAAACTGATCCAAGCTGGAGCAGACATTACATCAACAGATTCTCATGGAAATACTCCATTAATGGCTCTGTGCCGTCCAAATTGGAAACTTCAAAATAAATTACATAGAGAAGAGCATTTAAAAGATGTGTTGAAATATCTTTTGCAGTTTACAACATTAGATGTAAGTAAAAATTTATTTATGATTATTATATATAGTACAAAAATAAATTTATAATGTGATTATAGCAAATATAATTTATGAAGAAACATTATTCTTTTTTAATATATTAAAATTTTAGTAGTATGTAATATTACTGATGATGATGATCATAATGAAAATTTGCAAATTTAAAGAATAAATGAATTTATGTTTTTCATTTAAATTTACATTTCTTTTGTCAAGAAAAACAGTAAAGTTGTTATACAGTAAAACTTACGTAAACTGGAATTGATTGCACAGTAATGAATATTTTTCTCTTTTGAACAGGTTTTAATTTTTTTTATCTATAAACTATACTAGAGAAATGCTGCACAGTTATGTTACAGAATAAAATCACTTTAAAGCAGTGATCACACCTAGCAATTTCCAGCTATGCAGACAACCGACCACAACTGCAACAAGCATGAGTTGGTCATGTCTTGTCATGATCACATTGTTGGCATTGCAACTCAGAAACACATGACCTCATAATAAACCAATAAAATTATCATAGCTTGTTTTTGACTACTTTTGTAAGTTTACCAACACATTCTACTTCAGAGTATTTATGTAATTTTAGTCACTTTTCTTATTAAAATGGCAAGCAGTTCCTTTTCTGCAATGAATAAAAGAAAAAAAGGCAATCATTTTGTTTGAGCTGGTGAGAATACATGAAGAGATAAAAATCTTTGATAAAATGAAGAATTACAATCCCACAGGCATTTGTGAGTCTGAATAACCTTGATCAATCTCAATTCTGTACAAGTATCAATCCTCTTACTTTCCACCAATATGATGAACTATTTTCAATGTTGCCATCATATGATGTGGCACAAAGATGTTTGCTGATTGAATGTGCAATTGCGATTGATGTGAGTAGAACAAACTTTTTGTTTCTAGTTGCAGTTGCAGTTGTGCCAATTTTTGAAGGTGTTTAATGAGAACAGAAGTTGCCATTGCCTTTGTGGCTGAAAATTGCAAGGTGTGACCATGGATTTGCATACATAAAAATTTTTTACTATTAAGCTTAATCCAAATTAATCTAATATGATTTCAACTAAAGATATATGAATTTAGAACTAGTCTAAATGTATAACTAATGTATGAATTTAGAACTATTCAATTGTAAGAAGTTTTTGTTTGGAAGAACTTGTGCTCAAGATTTGAATACTTTTGAGTTAGATACATTTACCATATTAGCTTACATAACAGTGTACAAGCCAATTTGAGTTCGAAGAACTAGTCTTTCTGACATCAAAAATTCTAATCACATCACAATAATACAGAGATCAAATTATTTTGTGAACTAACTTCTTAAGGAATTTTAATACTCAAATTAATTGTTTACTTTAGTCTCTATAATTATTAACATGTTAATCAACTTGTTTTCAAATACTTGGAACTAGTTAGTTACTAACTATTCCATATAAGGTAAATTGGCAGCACTGTGTTACCATATTCTTATTGTTTTCATGAATTACATTTGTTGCTTATTCTTGAACTTGATTCTCAGAAACTTATTTGATTCTAGAAAGATATCAATTCTGCCTCTGGTTAATTCCAACAAAGATCCTGTGTCTGTATGTCCTCGTCATATGACTTTCATTTCTTTGAGACGGTTCCAAATTGTTCTTGGAATACAATTTGTTATGCTCTACAATGACAGTTATACCAAGAGACAATTTTACTTAGCCTATTTGTCTTTAAATTAAATTTTAATTTTCTATTTTATCCAGATTATGTTGCATTCTTTGTATTCAAAAACCTCTTCTGTTTCTCTGTTCAACAGATTTCCAGATTATAGTAGAATCTAACATAGAAGATTGCTTTATTCTGAAGAATTTTTTTCTATTTACAGATTTCTTTTTTATTCAGGTTCCATTTTGGACAGGGTTTGCTGTATTATTTATTTAAAGTAATCAAATAATGAATATAAATATTTATTTAAATTATTGTAATTTGACATTTATTTATTTGAAAAAGTTTAAATCTTCTCCATTGATTTCATTTGTTCTTTGCAGCTTAATTATGTTAACTGCATGAACCAGAGTGCTCTATGGTATCTATTTTGTACAAGCAGTTTAAATTTGGCAAATACTCTAATTGAAGCTAATGCAGATCCTTCTATTGCTGGAGTTGGATACACTCCTTGTGGCCCTTGTCTGTCTTCTCCAGATGTATTAATTGGTGGACGGTAAATATTAAAACATTTTATGTTTTCTTTAAGTTTTAAAAAATTTTAGAACTATAATATTTTATATTCATAATCTTAGAATACCAGCAGTCTTGATGTCATTAACAAGAACCTTAAAGTCAAGTTTTGTTTATAGAGATGAATGGAAAGCAGGGGAACTTCCATTTACTGTATCAGAAGAACTATCAGCTCTTGTTGATTCAGGTAAAAGTATCTCATACACATCAAATAAATGTTTTCTTTTAGTGAATTTATTTTAAAATTTTATCCATTAAATTGTAAAGTTAACATATACATCAACTGAATAAAATCCAGAAAATAATACATGCTTAAAAATAGTAAGGACTGTAAGTAGCAAGATGAGTAAATTATAAAAATAATTGCTATATTATTGGATTTACCTGAAACTTTTATTGTAGCGGAATCATTTATTACATTAGTTGGTCTGATAAAATGAATGCTGTATTCTTCTTACTGATATATATTATTTTGGTATAGAGAATTTAGCATCAATTTTCAATCTTATTAGATGGAGATTGTTGTGAATGGTAGTTTAAACAATGCTTTATTAATATTGATATTTTTAAATTTTTAATTGAGAACTGAAATGACTGCAGAATTTTTTTTTTAATTGCCACTTATTGTTTAATAAGCTGACATGAAATTATTGCAATCAATCCACTTATAGTTTAAAATTATAAGAATTAAGAATTAATCAAATTTATGTAGTATTTTAATATTTTTAAGAATATATATATATATATAAATTCATTTACCTTATTTTATGTTAATTGAGAAAACACATTGATGTTGATTTGAATGTTGATTGCTGGAAAGAATTGAAAAATTGTCTTATATCATTGCCAGTCACATTTTTACTATTACAACCTTATTCCTCCTTTGCTTTCTGAGTTTAGGAAATACTGTGTTAAGCAATTCTTTATTAAACTTCTTGCATCCACTAGCTTTAATACTGAGAATTTGCAATTTTAAAGCTTTTATTTCAAGAAATATCAGCAGGTTGCAGAAATTTTGTGCATTTTCTTGACATAACAGCAGTGTTGATTTTTAACTTTGTAAGATGTTTCTTTTACTGTTGACATAATATGACATTTATAATTATCTTAAACAAGTAGTCATCTGATAAAACTGAATTTTCCATCACTTAGTTTACGTAAGGTCTTTGTGTCAAATAGATGATGACTAATTAAGGAAACTTTTTCCAGTTCTGGTAAGGTCAACGTCATTTCAAAATGACAAACAACTGACAGTAAGAAAACCTCAAGACCTGTTGTTATAAGAATAACATCTTTACTTCCAGCATTATCAATTGTTTATGACCTACTCCTTTGAATCAAAATATTGTTTTCATCAGCCAGTAGTGCCATTTTCACTGAAGTTTTTCTGTAGATAACGATGGCAAATACTATGCAATACAAACTGCTATTTTTAGAATATTATTTTTAAGTGATTTATGTGTAACAGTTGCTTGCTATGTCAGGTGAGTTTGTCATTTATAGAATTTCTGAAAAAACCTAAACTTGCTTTTAATGTTACACCAATACTTCATATTCTCATCTTTGTTTTGTATGGAATTTGGATTTTTTCCTGCTTTTCAGTAAATTGCACTTATGAATGAGTAAAAGCTATCTTGGATCGTAGGGGTTCAACAAAGCTGAATAAACAAACAAAAAAATTTTCTTGAATTAGCAATTCTAACAAATTGGTAATAATTTTTCCCCTTCATTCTTGAATTATTTTTCTCCTTACGTTCTTCTCCTGATCTTCTAGCTTCGGTTACCTTGTTTCTTTGTTTATTCAATTGCAACCAGCTTCATTCATTCTATAATAGTATGTTACTAGTAAAAATGTTGAAATTATAAAAGTGTCTCTCAGATGATGGATGCTAATGGACAATAAGGGTTAGGAATCATATAATTTTAGTTTCCCACTGATATAAGGAAATGCCAAATTTTAAACCTCCCTGGTTTTTTTCATTTCTCAGCATTTTGACACTCCACAAGTCCAAAAATGTAAAATACCATTACAAAATTGTATATGATGGAAATGTATGGATGGACAGGCATCTATTTTGCCTTATATCTCAGAAATGCATAAACCAAAATTTTTGAAACTTTGCAGGTTATTTCTATATATAGGACATTGATGCTATTAAATTTTGATGGAAAGATAGAGGAGATTGTGTGTCATATTTTGAGGTGAGTCGGACTTAAATGCATAAAAAGTAAAATTTTTATACAGTCGATCCCCCTATAAGATCATTGATTTTTCCGTTTTATCTGAATTACATGTTGTACGAGTCACTTAGATTTTACAAATACGTGTGCCGGGCTGTGAACGGCTAACATATTTGTAAAATCTAAGTGACTCGTACAACATGTAATTCAGATAAAACGGAAAAATCAATGATCTTATANAATTTATAATATATGTATTTTGTATTACATTGTATTAATAAACAAAATTATTTGCTTATTTTTCACTTATGTAGAACCTAACCTTATATCTCACTGTAAATATGGGTTTGTTGTTTTATGCCGATTCAATTTGTGCCAGCTTTTGTAGGAGCAGAACTGCAGCGTAAACCGAGGGCTACCTTTAATATGTTACTCTTTGTATAAATACATTTGTTTTAATATGTTTGTTGCAATTTTCAAATACTTTTTCTTTTGTTATTTTTATTTTTAAGCATAGTAAATTATAAAATAAATTATGTTTGTTATTGATTATTCAGTTTCAGACTTTAAGATATATGTAACAACAGCTTAATTTACAAATTAATTTATTTTTGGTACGTATTTATTTCTTATACAGATTAAATAATTAACTGTAAAGTTTTTAATTTCATTAGCTTTCTTTGAAGTTAAAAGAGTTTATAGTGATCATGGAAAACTTGAAAAGTGTTGAATTTTCACAGATTTGGGAAACAAAGAGAATATCATGGAACTTGCATGGAAATTGCTGTTCTGTATGTTATGCTTTTATCCAAAATAACTAATTGATACAGCAATTGTGCAAAGTTACAATTGTATGTAATGTGTAGTTTACCCAAGGCATCTAACTTCATCAGACCAAAGAGTGCATTCAGAAATAGTTTTATCAGAAACTGAATGCTCACTTTCCAAACAGGTTAGTTGGCTCAGAGTCCAGCGCTTATTGAGCGCTTAGTAAAAAGCCATTAAAAAATGATTCCTGGCTTAAGGGAGTTACATACCATATATTGTTGATGTCATCAACTGTTGTAAATGAGCACATGCACATTAATGTGTAAATTTAATGAGATTAAATCAATATGAATGTTATTGACTTCTAATTGTCAGTTTGTATATTTCTAGTTAGGGTCAGGTAGATATACTTTCTGTTGATTGTTCATGAGTTATCTATTGGTGTTCTGTTATCTTTGTGTCTTACTACTGACATTGTCTTTTCATCATCACATAATAATTTATAAGAAATCAGGATTGCTCTGTTTAGAACAAATGCTAAACATATTAGCCTTTGGTTTTTACTTTTTCTGCCCTGTGGTCACTGAGAGAGCCTTTTTATCAAGCTCATCATGAATTCAGCCATTACACAATGGAGCAGCCAGGTGGTGAGGAATGGGGCTGACAAATCTGAGACAGACATCTTCAAAAAGTTTCTTCAGTTTTTTCCTGACTGGATTCAGTCCCAATCCTCAAGTAGTCATAAATCAGGGTTACATTGTAATGATAAAGTATAATATAAAATCTTTAGTGTGTGTGCATGCATGTGCATGAATTTAGTTCTCATACTTAATTTCTATGCTTTGAATTTTAAGATCAGAATTATGCATTTTAATGATTTAATAAATGAATTATATATAGTATCTGTAATTTTTGAAATTGATTTCCAGATGGAATCCAGAAGTAGCACGTGTGATAGGTCTAAATGATTCAGTTATTACAACTTTTCCTGAATTACGAGAACAGTTGTTGGAGTTGATTGATTGTTTCATAGGTAAGCTCTTCATTGCAATAAATTGAACTTTATTTTCTTCATCTGCATCATTATTGTAAGATTGAACTTTTCCATCTCTGTTCTATACTTCAAATTAAATTTAATATTTGTAACTACAACATTTTATAAAATATGAAAGTTTTAATTAACAGAAGAAATATCCTCTTCCAAATTTGACTATTTACTTAATCTGTTTTAATGAATTGCAACTAAGTTTTTATTGGTATGACATTAATGTCATAAAATCTTCTTTAAAACAATATCAATAGTTTACAGATAACCATTTTGAGATATTAAAAAGCATGATAAACTATTAATAACTATTCACAAATGTGTCTGGTTGTCATAAAATATATTTTTAATATTTTAAAAAAATTATAAATTAAAAATGTTAAAAAATTTTAATACATTTTCACTGAATGATTTATTTCAATATTTAAATAAACATTTTTAAACTTTCTACATTCTTAGAAATTTGGATTTATTTGTTCTATGATTTTATTACTTTAACAAATTCGGAATATGTTTGTAGACAGTTATACCCTATGTAAATATTGTATTCAGACAGTTTTTTTGTAATTTTATAGGAAATGTTATGTTAATTTATAATCTTTATTAAATTCTGTAGTGTTGTTGTAAAACTATTCTTTTTGACACATTCTTTACAAGACATCATCTCTGTTCAACCTTAACAAGATGTATATTTTTTAGAAGTAGAACATACAAAGAGATGATTTTTATCCAAAAATTAAAAATTATTATGAATTTTGAAAATAAATTATAAATTATTTTTATAAAATGTTTATTATGAAGATAAAATGTAGATCTATACTATATTTGAAGATAAAATGTAGATCTATACTATATTTTTTAAATTCTAATAATTTCTAATTTTTCTGCACTTTCTAATATACACTATCTTGTATACACTTTTTTCGGTAATGACACATTTTTTACTCTGCAATTTGACACACAAACAGTGATATCATGCAAAATTCAATACTCACATTTTCATAAGAAACCTTAAAATTTGTGAAAAATTTGGTTCAGTGTTGGACAATAAGTAATCATTCACTGATCCTTTAGGCCAATTTTCTCCATTATCTATGTAGGGGCCAAATCTCCATACTTATTCTGTATGGCCTTTTCTATGCTTTCAACCATTTTTACACTAATATTTTATCAGCTTTTGAGGTCTTGCTTTTACCATTTTCTTTTCCTTGGCTTGCTAGTCACTTTCTAGAGTGCATAAAAAAAATAATGAACATAATTAAGAAGCTGAAATTTGATCTTTAAGCATGTAAAAATATAATTGTCCTAAAAATTCATGAACATAAGAGTATTATACCATTGTCAGGCAAAAATTTTTGTGACAAGCTATATGAAAATTGATTTTTTCTGTTCTCCTAAGAAATATTTCTAAATTAGGATGAGCATTATATATATCTTATAAGGTTAATAAGCTCTTATTTTTATTATATTATACAAAAAAAAAAGTTTGTTGTGTTACATACATTTATTATGCAAAGTAATTACTGTTAAAATCTTTGTATTCCCTACTCAAATAATACATTATTTTACTTTCTATCTGATTTAATGCATATGTTATTAGTCTTATCATTTTAAACACATGGTAGTAATTGGCTTTTCAAATTTTTTTCAACTTATATTTAAAAATAATAGTGTAATAAAAACTTTATTTATTAATTTTAAGTGATAAAAATGTGTACAGTTTTTTTATTATTTTTTTTATATTCTACAGTTTATATGAAATTAATGATTCTATTAATTTTTATTAGCACATAGAGCAGAAGTTAATGTTTATCTCGGAGACACACCTGCTCTTATCCGTTTGCTTTTCACATATCCTGATCTTGAACTTACTGAAAAACTGATCCAAGCTGGAGCAGACATTACATCAACAGATTCTCATGGAAATACTCCATTAATGGCTCTGTGCCGTCCAAATTGGAAACTTCAAAATAAATTACATAGAGAAGAGCATTTAAAAGATGTGTTGAAATATCTTTTGCAGTTTACAACATTAGATGTAAGTAAAAATTTATTTATGATTATTATATATAGTACAAAAATAAATTTATAATGTGATTATAGCAAATATAATTTATGAAGAAACATTATTCTTTTTTAATATATTAAAATTTTAGTAGTATGTAATATTACTGATGATGATGATCATAATGAAAATTTGCAAATTTAAAGAATAAATGAATTTATGTTTTTCATTTAAATTTACATTTCTTTTGTCAAGAAAAACAGTAAAGTTGTTATACAGTAAAACTTACGTAAACTGGAATTGATTGCACAGTAATGAATATTTTTCTCTTTTGAACAGGTTTTAATTTTTTTTATCTATAAACTATACTAGAGAAATGCTGCACAGTTATGTTACAGAATAAAATCACTTTAAAGCAGTGGTCACACCTAGCAATTTCCAGCTATGCAGACAACCGACCACAACTGCAACAAGCATGAGTTGGTCATGTCTTGTCATGATCACATTGTTGGCATTGCAACTCAGAAACACATGACCTCATAATAAACCAATAAAATTATCATAGCTTGTTTTTGACTACTTTTGTAAGTTTACCAACACATTCTACTTCAGAGTATTTATGTAATTTTAGTCACTTTTCTTATTAAAATGGCAAGCAGTTCCTTTTCTGCAATGAATAAAAGAAAAAAAGGCAATCATTTTGTTTGAGCTGGTGAGAATACATGAAGAGATAAAAATCTTTGATAAAATGAAGAATTACAATCCCACAGGCATTTGTGAGTCTGAATAACCTTGATCAATCTCAATTCTGTACAAGTATCAATCCTCTTACTTTCCACCAATATGATGAACTATTTTCAATGTTGCCATCATATGATGTGGCACAAAGATGTTTGCTGATTGAATGTGCAATTGCGATTGATGTGAGTAGAACAAACTTTTTGTTTCTAGTTGCAGTTGCAGTTGTGCCAATTTTTGAAGGTGTTTACCAATTAATGAGAACAGAAGTTGCCATTGCCTTTGTGGCTGAAAATTGCAAGGTGTGACCATGGATTTGCATACATAAAAATTTTTTACTATTAAGCTTAATCCAAATTAATCTAATATGATTTCAACTAAAGATATATGAATTTAGAACTAGTCTAAATGTATAACTAATGTATGAATTTAGAACTATTCAATTGTAAGAAGTTTTTGTTTGGAAGAACTTGTGCTCAAGATTTGAATACTTTTGAGTTAGATACAGCCCATATTAGCTTACATAACAGTGTACAAGCCAATTTGAGTTCGAAGAACTAGTCTTTCTGACATCAAAAATTCTAATCACATCACAATAATACAGAGATCAAATTATTTTGTGAACTAACTTCTTAAGGAATTTTAATACTCAAATTAATTGTTTACTTTAGTCTCTATAATTATTAACATGTTAATCAACTTGTTTTCAAATACTTGGAACTAGTTAGTTACTAACTATTCCATATAAGGTAAATTGGCAGCACTGTGTTACCATATTCTTATTGTTTTCATGAATTACATTTGTTGCTTATTCTTGAACTTGATTCTCAGAAACTTATTTGATTCTAGAAAGATATCAATTCTGCCTCTGGTTAATTCCAACAAAGATCCTGTGTCTGTATGTCCTCGTCATATGACTTTCATTTCTTTGAGACGGTTCCAAATTGTTCTTGGAATACAATTTGTTATGCTCTACAATGACAGTTATACCAAGAGACAATTTTACTTAGCCTATTTGTCTTTAAATTAAATTTTAATTTTCTATTTTATCCAGATTATGTTGCATTCTTTGTATTCAAAAACCTCTTCTGTTTCTCTGTTCAACAGATTTCCAGATTATAGTAGAATCTAACATAGAAGATTGCTTTATTCTGAAGAATTTTTTTCTATTTACAGATTTCTTTTTTATTCAGGTTCCATTTTGGACAGGGTTTGCTGTATTATTTATTTAAAGTAATCAAATAATGAATATAAATATTTATTTAAATTATTGTAATTTGACATTTATTTATTTGAAAAAGTTTAAATCTTCTCCATTGATTTCATTTGTTCTTTGCAGCTTAATTATGTTAACTGCATGAACCAGAGTGCTCTATGGTATCTATTTTGTACAAGCAGTTTAAATTTGGCAAATACTCTAATTGAAGCTAATGCAGATCCTTCTATTGCTGGAGTTGGATACACTCCTTGTGGCCCTTGTCTGTCTTCTCCAGATGTATTAATTGGTGGACGGTAAATATTAAAACATTTTATGTTTTCTTTAAGTTTTAAAAAATTTTAGAACTATAATATTTTATATTCATAATCTTAGAATACCAGCAGTCTTGATGTCATTAACAAGAACCTTAAAGTCAAGTTTTGTTTATAGAGATGAATGGAAAGCAGGGGAACTTCCATTTACTGTATCAGAAGAACTATCAGCTCTTGTTGATTCAGGTAAAAGTATCTCATACACATCAAATAAATGTTTTCTTTTAGTGAATTTATTTTAAAATTTTATCCATTAAATTGTAAAGTTAACATATACATCAACTGAATAAAATCCAGAAAATAATACATGCTTAAAAATAGTAAGGACTGTAAGTAGCAAGATGAGTAAATTATAAAAATAATTGCTATATTATTGGATTTACCTGAAACTTTTATTGTAGCGGAATCATTTATTACATTAGTTGGTCTGATAAAATGAATGCTGTATTCTTCTTACTGATATATATTATTTTGGTATAGAGAATTTAGCATCAATTTTCAATCTTATTAGATGGAGATTGTTGTGAATGGTAGTTTAAACAATGCTTTATTAATATTGATATTTTTAAATTTTTAATTGAGAACTGAAATGACTGCAGAATTTTTTTTTTAATTGCCACTTATTGTTTAATAAGCTGACATGAAATTATTGCAATCAATCCACTTATAGTTTAAAATTATAAGAATTAAGAATTAATCAAATTTATGTAGTATTTTAATATTTTTAAGAATATATATATATATATATTCTTATTCATTAATATAATGAATAAGAATATATATATATATATTCTTATTCATCTATATATATATAGATGAATAAGAATATATATATATATATTCTTATTCAT